GTGAAAACAATGCACTATGAATGACTATATGTCATAAAATGAGTACAGCATTTACTTAATTTATAAGGGTCATAGCCGCCGAAACCGAAGAGGAGGGGGGCGGCTAGGGGGCATAACAAGCCACCCACCCCACCCACCCGAATCCGCCCCAAACTATTTTTTGCAACGATAGACATATTATTATAAGTCTTGAAAATTGGGGTTCAGTTCTGCCAACTCCTTTTTTGTTGTGGGATGAACCCCCGCTCCCTTTCAATTTGCTTCTTACGCCTTTACTTTGATGGTACTCTTACCAATTTTTACTTTAAATAAATTAAACATTCAGATTCTGTAAAAACATAGGTTTCGTGTTTGAAATATACACTCATGTAATAATTGATTACTAGTACATTACTAGTACATGTTAAGCTTATTTAATTAAATCCATCAGTGACAACCTATATCATTTCATTAAGTAGTGAATATATCATTTTTTTTAATTTAATTTTTTTTTTTTTTTTTTTTTTTTTTTTTTTTTTTTTTTTTTTTTTTTGAGAAAAAGGAAAGAATATATATTTTAGTTATTATCTAAGACTTCAAAACAACACGGATATTAGTCTAGGGTATTCTTAAGAATGAAGACACAAATATCAAAATATGTGTCTAACCCTAAAACCCTACATCCCCACCCCACCCCCATATTTAGTATAATTAACCTCACTTTTAATATGGTTAATACTCTGATTTTTTTAACAGGACCTATCTGCTTGTATTTTGCATTCAACTTTCGTCGTTTTAACATTAATTCAGCCTCTTAAAATAAGTTAATATAGTTCCAATATTTTACCTCTGCATTTTCACGCGATATCGCTTGAAAATCATTCATATTGACTGTTTACTGCTATTCGCTGGGCTAAAATGAATTAAAGTATGACATATTATAATAGTTATAGAGCTAAAAGGAAATTTGGTCTGATCTTATATTTTTTCTGTTTTTATTGATACAAGTAAATAATCATTTGCGTACATACTTCTACTTACATGTATTAGTATATGGGTTCACGGACTCACAGTGAACGATTTATATGTGAAGTGGAATTCACGATTTCGAGTGACTGATTTCTGTCTCTCTTTCTGGAATAAGAAAATTAAAACAATTAGCTAATGAGCTTAACATACATGTATCAATGAATTATCTTGCTGTAATGAATACAACATCTAAAAAATTTCGTTAACTTCTTTTCTACCTACCACAAATTATTGTCTGTGAAGCAATCTGAGACGAGATTTCTATTGTGACGTCATTCCATAGTGACGCGTCACCAGGTTTAAGTATGAACGATAACTCCGTTTTTTTTCGCAGGAATTTTTTTTTACGGTTTCTTTTTCTTTTCCAGAATTCATGGGGTGAGAAATACGATAACGACACATGTTTGAACAAGGACTGTCAGAGTTCGTCAGAAAACAAGGAGTTAACATTGATTTTTTTTTCACAAAGCATATTTAAAATTTTGTTTTATTTCTATTGACATTGAAATAAATAACATTTGCTGTCAAGAGACTATGGCACCCGAACTTTTGTGTTTTCCTTTAACTATACTCACTTGGATAACAGTGAAGACACTATAACAATTTTATAATTTTATATAAAACGATTTTGACCCCATACACTGTAAAAAAAAAAAAAATAGTTAATGTCACCAAGAAAACTAGTAGATTCACTGTCCATACAATCACTACCTTAATAGTAGTTTTACCAGATATTGGTATATTTACTAGATAAGATTAGTAAATTTAGAATTGATGAGTAACTTTCACTAGGTATCTTAGTATCTATACGACCCCCGCTCCACAACTCACTATCTTAACCAGTAAACTGAAAGTTTACTAATCACGACCAACGCTTTACGAAACACATTAGTTAAATTCACTAGGTTTTTCTTTCAGTGTATCTCCCCTCTGGATGAAAAAAGGGAATTCTGAAAACTAGGTGCACATCTACGGAGACAGAATTCTTCTAAATCACTATTAGGTTGCTGTGAAAATTTTAAAAGGAGTTCGGGGTTCCGGATTTTTTTGTTCACATTCATTTTAACTCATTATTTGGCCCCACGGTGAAAATCTAAATTCTGAAACCACCAATCACTGTCCAAAAGATGAGTTGGATACTGCAAATCAGTGATAAAATTGGAGTTCAGTGAGCCACTTTTTTTAATTATATGATTAGCGGTCTTTGCATTTATTGTCGGGCGACATTACTTTTATAGACCTTCTATTGCCTTTGTTTTTTGTCTTTTTTTTTTTTGTTGTTTGTTTTTTTTTTGGGGGGGGGGGGGGACATGGTGCTTATCTGTTTGTTGATAGTAAATCTTCCAATTTTTGAGATGAAAGAGATTTATGATACAGCTTTAATACATTAATCATTCATGTTATTCTATTTTCCCCAGTAGTTTTATTCATCCTCGATCGTTTATATTAAGGATTTCCAATATATTACATGAACCCAATTTATAAGTTATATTATACATTAAGATATACTTCAACATGAATCATCTATGTTTGGTTCGTTCTCTACAGCTAAACGATTTTCAAGTGAGGGTAGGTGTGTCATTTTTTTTCAAAATATTATTTTTTTTTAAATTGTAAACTTGAAAAGAAACATATTCATAGAAAAAAGACCAAATTTTAAAATCCATTTTTTTAAATTATAAAATCAACCCGATTTCGCTATACATGTACTACAAAAAAGTGGAGTATAAGTTATGTTGGTGACTAGCCCTCCTCCCTCTTTACTACTTATCTGAATGCAGACGAAGATCTACAACTCTCTCAGAGATTCCTCACAAAATCTCCGTAACTCTTTCGGTCTTAAAGAAAAAACTATAATAAACTCCATGTCAAGCCTAGTTGATAACTCAAGAATACTTTTATACAGAGATTTTTAATTTTGAATTAACAATATTATTTTTTGTGAAAATCGTGTATCATTTTATTATACCATAACATTAGTCTATTCGGAGTATTATTTTAAAATAATGTCATATGATAATTTTTTTTTATTATATCCTTATACTTGAATATTTTTCCTTTCCTTTAACTATCTTAATTTAGTTAATTATACAATGGCGTCAATAATTATACCTGTAAAGTTTTCGATGATTTTTAATCATTTTGATAAACTTCCTAAAACTTTTTTCCGTGCATTTTCCTAGCTGTAGCTTATTTTTTGAAAATCTAGAAAAAGAATTATTCGATGTAGCATTCAAATAATTTTCATAGTGAATTTTGAAACTATTAATTATTAAAAAATTCATGGAATGTTAAAATTAACAACACAAAAAATAAAGTGCTTTGAGTGCATTCCTAGATCTTCTTCTTTTGAAATCATTCATGATGATATGAGTAATTTAAAACGGTCCGAGTTCTACTTGATATGCCTATTTAAATAACACGTGTTAATTTATCAATCTCATCACCACAAGCCTAATTTAGTAGAGCTAAAAACTTTGATAAAAAAGAAGTGTGAACGGGGCCCTGAAGCATGCGCGATAGGCCTAATCCCGATAATCCCAGATAAGTCATTCATTCATATAATTAGCAAAAATATGCATTTAATTCTTTTGTCTGAATAATTAGGTCTCGTTGTTTGTACACAAGACACGTACACACTGACATGTCAAGGATTTTTTTCTTCGTTGATCAAGGTAGTAAATCCGAGTTCGTGCGAATCAAAGACGAGCCCGATAATCAGAGGAAGAAAGGAGGGGGAATTTTTTTCCCCCATCAGTGTAAGATAAGATAGACGAAGAAGCTTAATTGCTAATGATGGATGGTCTTGTACCTCCTCTAATTTAGAAAATTACTTGCTAGGAAATCTCAACTCTTACGCGTTAGGTACAATTCAATTTGCACATGGAATGTTTGGATGTAACAATATTTACGCAGAGATAAGATTTCCCCCACTTGGACAATCGTCTACAAATAACGAAGTCCCTCCTTTACAGCAGTAAAAAAAATTCCTCCGAGGATACGCATCAAATTAATTTTCTTTTTATCAAAAGAATTAGAAAAAGAGATGATATCATTGCGTCAACCGATTATTTAAAGGTGTCCGCGAGGTTGTAAATTTGGAAGTCGAGTTTACACCTGCAGGTCAAGAATACAATCAAGTTGATTTATCGGTTATCAAAGACCGTGCTACTTCACATTTATTTAGAAAGCATTAATCCTGTAGACTTAGAAATACCTAGATGTTTATAACTTTCAATGGTCTTTCGAGTTTCAATGGCTTTATCACATTTTGTTTGTAACTTAAACAAATGAAACGGAGGTCAATTCACACTATATTTCTCAACATATAACAGGTGTTACTGAATTTTTTCAAGTATTTGGAGGAGAAACGTAGAAATATTGGAGGGAATCGATCTTAACTCCGAGATATGGCAGATTTGTTTCCTTCAGTCGGCAGACAAAAAAAATGTTCTCTAAATATTTCATTTCGACTTGGTATTTTTATTATTGAAAAATCAAGAGCTTATGAATCTGTAAAAAGATAGTTTACAAACTGTATTGATACAAGGATCTTCAGGTTAAAATTTAAAAGTTGTAAAAGAGAAGACTTTTTATCAATACATGTCTCAAATCAGGCTTTCACTTCTGACATTTCATTGAATATTTATGTAAATTTGATGACGATTTCTGATCCGCATTGCATGAAAAGGACACATTCCAAACCATTCTACTTAAGTAGCCCGGGATACTACGGCCAAAGGTTGTCTTTAATAAAACGTAAATAACTTTGTTTCAAATCAAGTCCTTAAGTATGCTTTAACTATTCCAAAAAGAACGGGTTTTAAATGTAGGGAATAAACGAGAAGATTGATGAAATAGCTAGAATTGTTCAGGAATTCAAATACAAATTTGCTTATTTAGAATTGTCAAATTAGACCTGGTATTTATGATCTGTTTCATTTTGGGGAAATTTGCATGAGCTCTTTTGTCCATGGCTATGACGAAAATCATATCAGATATTTAATTTCTTCATTGTTAACTAATTAATCAACTATGGAATAAAACGTGAATGTAGATAAACTTTTGTTTTAATAGTCAGCGTACTACATCAAGGTGAAAACAAATCATTTTTACAATATATAAACTATCATTTTTTAACCCACATTCCCGATAAATCCTATGTTCCCAAAATGTTCTCTACAAGATAGGAAATTGATCACTGCGATCGGCATTGAGAGATACTTTGTTTTAACAAGCTTAATGACATATCAACGCGTATCTTGTTCGCACCTACGGTGATTTTTACGAGAGCAAAAAATGTAGACCAGTACCGATTAATTAATGCAAGGCATGACGTATCAGGCTTAGTTAATATAGGCGGGTATTTGTGGCATTTGAAGTGGCATTAGAATACCCTGCGATTGTAAATAGGTGTTGCTAAGCCCTCGCAGCTTTGATTGATGGGAAGATGGGCGGGGCCAAGTGGTGCTGAAAATTCTTATAGGCACATATCATTATTGAAAGAGACTAAGAGAAGCAACCTCATTGTATAAAGCGCAAAAGAGAAATTTACGTGTTTTGCATATTTTATTGGGGTACATATTTTCTCCATTGTTTTTCTTTGACGGATGGATTTTAGATGTGAGCGGCTTAGGACAAGCTTGTTATCGTAGAGATAGAAGGGGCGAATTATCAAACGCTGAACCCGTTCGTCATCCTTTATATTCAGAGATTCAGTCATTCAGTGCACAGTCATCAAAATTTCTTCATTTAAAAATAAACAAATAGCTGAAGAATGGAAACGAGGAAATTTCTACGTCATTGAAGAAAGAGATTTAGATGCATAAAAGATGTTGATGATTTTATGCGGAACGTGATATTGGCTCGAGATGAAATTCAGAGATACCATCGTGATGCATTCATAGAATATCATTTTCCAATCTTGTGTGTTCCTGTTTTTATTTTTTCATTATTGGATAAGAATAGAAATATCCTGTGACGATGAAAGTTAAATTCAAATATTCCTTGCAATCACTATTCCGGAATTACTTTGTTTACGTCCTGTTGTGGTTTCTGATGTATGTGGATGTTAGGTCACAATTTAATAACATGTTTTCTGTCCAAGATCCACCCGATGACCCTTGTTATGATGAAAGGGGTGAACCCAAAATGTGCATTCCTGATTTTGTGAACGCTGCTTTCGGACAAGAGGTGGTGGCTTCTAGTACGTGCGGGTCACCACCGAGCCGGTATTGTCAGTCGACAAGAGAAAAGGACAGAGTGATAAGAAATTGTTTTATCTGTGATGCTAAGCATCCAAAAAGAATGCATCCCCCATCATATCTAACAGACCTCAACAATGCCAACGACTTGACATGCTGGATGTCCAACACGTATTTACAATACCCTCAGAATGTTACTTTAAAGCTAGCTCTGAACAAAAAATACGAGCTCACTTACATAAGCTTACAATTCTGTTCATCGAGACCAGAATCCATGGGAATATTTAAAAGTATGGATTATGGTAAAACTTGGATTCCATTTCAATATTATTCCAGCAGCTGTAAAAAGATGTTTGGAAAATCTCCCAAAGGCGTTGTTTCGCGATCTAATGAGCAAGAAGCACTTTGTACGGAACAGTATAGTAGCATCGAACCATTAAACGGGGCTCGGGTGGCATTTAGTACCCTAGAGGGTAGACCGTCTGCATATGATTTTGAAAATAATGCCATTCTTCAAGACTGGGTCACCGCTACCGATATTATGATTGTCTTCAACCGACTTAACACTTACAATGATGAGAATGAAGATGATGATGGGGTGAGGGAAAGTTATTATTACGCCATGTCCGATTTGGCTGTAGGGGGAAGATGTAAGTGTAACGGCCACGCTTCTAAATGCGTCAAAAATCGCGCTGGAAACTATGTCTGTGAGTGCAGGCACAATACGGCGGGAAACGACTGCGAAAAGTGTAAACCTTTCCATTTTGACCGACCGTGGGCCAGGGCCACTTCTGCAGATGCCAATGCATGTGTTGGTAGGTTCTTTTTTATCCCAAATTATTTATCATTTATAAATTTCAAATATTAATGTACAATTCATGGAATCTTATATTTATTTAAGGTAAAACATTAACTTAACATTGCATCTTATTTACAGTGTGTAAAAACTGCATTGCTGACAGGACATTTTTGAAGGAAAAAAATTCAACCAATCCCTAATTACCCTACATTATTACTAACTGAATTAATTTTTTTATTTCAGTGTGTTAATCTTTCTTATTTCAGACTTTAATTGACATTTCTTATATTTTTAATTTAGTTGTTATTCTTAAACATTTTGGATTTACTCCCGATTTAAATCAAAATCACGCCTGTTTATCAACAGAATAACGAAATCAGCTGATCGATGTAAAAACACAGTATGACATTTATAAGTAATCCTTAATCTTGTAAACTGGGTTTAATTTCATTTAATGACAATTATATAAACCCTTTAAACACCTGTTCTTTTAAATACTACCAGCACAATAAGCCGTTGTGTCATTCATTCCATTAAAGATTTATCCGCCAAAGGGTAACTTAATAAAACGTATAATTATTCTACACGCAAGTGCAATAATTCACCGTTTCAAACACAGGGCTTTTTCGCCTATCATTAAGTCTTCATCTTAAATAATTAGAAGCATATATTGCAAAGCCAAAATTCTGGTTTGTTTCTTCTTCGCGCGTATATTAAAAAGATTAAAACATGTTAATACATTTAATGATAAGACTTAAGAGTATATCAGGATTGTTAGTTAGATACTTTAAAGAGATATACTGGAATTTGGTGGGAATTTATTAGTTGTTTTAATCCGTTTCTGCACGTGGTTAAAATACACCGAGGTGTTGAGGTGTGCAATACCGTTAAAACATTAAATAAGCAAATATCATACACAGATAAGCACGTGCTTTTGCCGATGAACATCTTTGATAAACCGCCTTTGGAACGAGCAATTGCTGGTTTTCCAACTGTGAAAAGATTCCAGTTAGAAAAAACTATCAAATTAACTGCGTAAAATTTTTGGGTTTATTTTCATTCAAGATTTTGGCGAACTCGAAAGGAAATTGAGATGATGTTTAACCCAGTCTTATTGTCAAAAGGAAAAGTATAAATTTTCACTGAAAAATTTTAGAAAATTTGATGCACGTATACATTTAGTTTATATAAATATGTACTTTAAAAATTAAGTACATTACATTTTATATAAAACTAGACTACTTTTTAAAAAAAAATTGGTGTTGTTTTCTTTTTAAATGAAACTTAATAGAGTAAAAACCAACGGATTCAAATTTTACAAATTTCACTCCAATTGTTCTATTGCATGTGAAGCTTCAATTCGTGGTGGTTGATACCCTTTTTATTTGGCTGAGTCACATGTATCCCATACTCGATCACTAACGAACCATAAAAGGCGGAAAATAAACGCACTTTGTCTATTTTTTCATTGAAACAGAGGAATCTAAATATTTTTGCAGTTACACTTTCAGCTTCGTTCTACGTCAACTGTTAAAAATCCAATAATATTTGACCAGCGCGAGTGTCAACGACAAAAACAACCACTCGAAAGTCCGCCGCGTAACAATCAAAAGCAGTGGGCACCTATGTCAGATTTAACCTGTAAACATAATTAAAACCCACACAATTAATTATAACACCAGAACATGTAAAAATCATTCTGATATAATGCCAGTAACGAAACGCAGGTGTCATTCGCTAATCGCTATTTGAAATGAGGATTACTACGAGCAAGTTTTTCTGATCCGATTTAAGGCATTTTAATTTTATTTCAATGTGGAACTCCATTATCTGATTTCAGAGCAAGGGATCCCTTCACTGGTTTGTTTTATTTCTAAATCACTCTCAATGGCCAAGCCGAACAATGAAGGTGTCAACGCTAACACTTTTCAAGTAGACTGAATTAGAAATATAAGCATGATTACCAAAATTCCTTGGTGTAAAAAAAAGGACGTAATATTTTTATAAGGACAGGCCCCAACAACTTTTTCTTGGGAGATTACATAAACAAGTTGAAACTTTTTAGGGTTATAGAGAAGAGATAGAGCTGAAAATTATCCTGATTTATTTTAACTTTAATAAGAAATTGCAGTTTGAAGATAATAGAGAAGACGTTATCACACTCTTTGGTATTCGAGATTTCTTTTAAAACCATGATCTATCCAAAGTGTACCTAATATTCTGTTTTACCAAGTGCCAAGATTCGTAGAAAGAGTGGATCGAGAACGTCATCAATTATTATTATATTTCAAAGATATTATCCGGACTCGTTACGAGGAAAAAAATCGTTCTTGTCTCTTTTTCCTCCGGAAAAAAATAATAAAATAGAAGTTTAACTTAAAAAGTATAAGCTCTACTAAAAATCTTCATTAGCTCTCCCGATAGCCAGGTGTTCTTAACATGCTTAGATTATCAGAGCAGCATTTGCCTGAAAGAAACACTTAGACGACTCTTCAGTAGAAGAGATTCCGTTAATAAAAATTTCGGATTCACACCCCTAAAACGGAAAACGCGTAAGAAAGAAATCTTATCTTGCTCTCTGCTTATTCAAATATTGACGATTTGAATTCAAACTAAAGAAATTAGTTGTATTGATTCGTTTAGTGTTCGATAGACGCTCTGATCACTTTATTAGGGAAAAAACATTCTTGTGTAAAGAAATAATGGGATTTTATTATCAAACTCATTTATTTAAAAAGAAAGCAATTCTTTGATTGATTTTTTATCCATTTATTTTCAAACTAACAATTATAAAAAAAATTCTTATTATTTGTCTTTTTCACATGACAGAGAAGAGATTTTGAAAAAACGTCGGTGATATATTATTCTTTAAAAAAAAAAAATCAGATTTGAGACGGATTTAGAAAGGATATGACAGTCTCTCCAAAAGATAATGCGTAAAAAAATAACTACGTCAATGATACACAATGTACATCAACTTCTTTGTGACAAAAATAAGAAGATATTTGCTTTCTTTCTTGTGAATGATTATCCATATGATCCCACTGTCATCATACGTCTGTCTGAAAATCTTTTGGAGAGTTTGTTTTTCTCCTAAAGAGCAGCATGGCAGGGTATTTTCACACCTGTGTTGCTATTGATCTGAAATGTTCATGATAAGCTGTCATAGCGGTGTCTCAAGGTGTTGGTATGGCCCTTATACTGCGTGCCTTATCGATAGGAATATATCAATCTAACATATAAATTAGAATCCTCAAAATGCTGGATATGACTCTCAGAATGTCGTAAAAGGCTTTTGTAAGGATTTGTAAAACTGTTCGAAAACGTAAAAAAAAAATGTAAACAGGATCAGAATTGAACTCTAACCTTTTGAGAAACACTTTCCAGAGGTTCTAAATGCTCTCTTATTTTACATACAAGATGATATCTTCATTGTTATTTTAATTCATATAGCTGGCTTACACATTTTTTATGACGGGGATTCATTCAATATTCATATTCACGGCAATGATCCTTATGAATAGTGAAAGGTCGCGAAAAAGCAAGGGACCGAGTTGATATTATACGTGTAGGATCGTTGACAGTGAAACTTGACTCGACGATCTTTTCTAACCTTAAGCAAATTGCAGCCGTACTTGCATTCTTCTCCTATCCACTAAGTATGAACAAAATCTGAATATATATGCGTATATACGTGTGCGGAAGAATACAGAAATTTCGAGTCGCGGCCACACACAAAATCTAATCCTGATACAGAAAATTTGATTCTTTACTCAGACATATCTCAGACGAAAAAATGGGAGGTCATTCAGGTATTTCAAAATTGAGATTTGAAACGAAAACGTATAATTAACTTAGCATGGTTCAGCCATTATAATTAGGAGGGGCGTAAGGTCAAAAACTTAGTGTCACATTCCCAATGATGTAAACCTTCTAGACCGACCTTCTCTCGGCTATCTATCCGATTTATTGCATAAACTCCATGATAGTTTTACAGTTTGTTCTGGATACACAATAGCTTCTAAATGGTAACTAAGACACGAATTTTCGGAACACCTAGCCCGAACACAGGTTTTCCCTTGCCCTATGGCTCTTTCGTTCCTATTTGTTTTGCATTAGATCTGGGTATTGTGTAGGCACAACAAAGACAGATTGTAATGAACTTTTTCACACTGGCCGTGCTTCGCTTGTGGTGGCCAGTCATCCTACCCCATTGACAATCCCAGGTTTATCTCCGTGATGAATAAGATGAATTACTCATTAAGAAAAATTAGATTCATAAAGTGCAACTTTTTGCCAAAATTTCTACATATTGCCAACCCGAACATATTCAGCAGGTTATTGGGTCCCTGTATCCTGCTAAGCTTTGCTTTCATGATCTGACATTGTTATTTGTAATAAATTCAAGACAGCGATTTTCTTTTCGGTGTTTCCGGGACGGTCTAGCTAGAGAATCACATTAAAAATTCAATGCATGATATTTAAGTTTTGAAAAATTTGATCCATGCATGACTTTACATTTATTCGGTGTAATGTCTTGGCATGTAAATGAAAGACCAACAGGTTAAAAGATGAACAAGAGCGGAATATATGGTTATTCAGTTAGGTTTTAGGTTACTAATCCAGGTTGCATTTCAGAACAAGGCAAGAGATTAAAAATCACAAAGACTATGATTAAGACATATAGTCACATACCATATATTAAAAAGTGCTAAAATACTCCCTATCAAACGACTGCGTTTAAATATGCACACCCAACACTAGTAAGAATGTATAAATTTCTCTTCTTTATTAAACGCTATGTCTTGAACCCGATATGGCGATACTTAACCCCGCTCATGGTTGTTTTTGAGACGTTAGTCAAGGTACCCATTATCTTGTTTGATGGTTAGGTGAACTCTTTTTTCTACTCATGATTTATCGGTTTCATATAAATCTACATTAAAATTTGACAACGTTCATAAACAAAAGCATCCCCTGTATTTGGATTCTACCAAGGTTAATTTGCAATTTTAA